AAAATTATATATATTTTTCACCCTAAATCCGAACCCGACCCGACTCGAATCCGATTTTTTTTAAAAAAACTCAATTCGATCTGGTCAAATTCGAGTCTCGTGCCCAACCCTACCCAGAAATAGAATCAGCGAGGTCACAGTGGAATTGTTTACTTTTAGACTTTCACCATATGTGTAATAATTAATGCAAATAATCTGGCAATATGTGACGATTAATTCCATTCCATTTCCATATGAAGTTCAAAGTCACATCAGGGTGGGATTTAATTTTTTTTATAACCACTTATATCCGATCTATTAATCGATTAATCTGGATCGGGTACTGCAGAGTCAGATGCGACAATTCCTATCCAATTTACTCCATTCGCAATCGTCATGATTCGAATTTCTGATCTTATTTAAAGGATTTAATATTTCATTCCATTAAGCTAACTGGTTGTTGGTGGGTGGGGTTTAATTTGATAGTTCGGGTTATCATTTAATTTAAATTTTAATCTTTTTAATCGAATCTACTTTATATAGGCCAGCGAAAATAAATTTACATCGAAAAAATTTAAGTTCGAATCGAATTTATATTTTCTGGGGTGAGAGTAGCCCAAACTATAGTTCTTTTGTTGGGGACGTAGCCCTAATACAAACTTATTTGTGTTACATTTGGACATGGCCCAACTTCAAGTATATCTTGCACATTAAAGAAGAAGAAAATATTCTACAAGTAAAAGAAATCACAGATTTATCATAATGTTGAATTGCGAATGGAGCGACTCGTTTGGGAGGGTCCTCCTTGTTTTTATAGTATCCGATTCGGATTAATTGATACGAGTAATTATATAAAAAAAAATAACAAAATTGACTTGAACGATATAAAGAATAATTGATTAGTTATAAAAAAGGCAAAGTACATAAACGGTCCCTGACTATATAGTACTATTTTATTAAGTCATTCGACTATTAAAAGTAATAAAAAAGTCATTTGATTATAAAGTGGTGCTTTGTTGAGTCTCTCGACTACTAAAAGTTACAAAATGGACACCTGAGTATTTATTATGTTCCAAACTCATCATTTTTCGTTAAAAAAAGAGGATGTTATTCTGATATGAACGTTAACATGTTGACTATGATATGATAAAATCTAATACCGGAATCTCAAACGACTATCATTTCTCAGTCATCATGTTAACGTCCAACTTAAACAACTGCCATTTTTTAAAGGAAAATGATGGCTTTGGAACATAATGAATAGTCGGTTGACCATTTTATAACTTTTAATAGTCGAGATGCTCAACAAAGCAACACTCTATAGTCGGAGAACCATTTTGTAACTTTTAATAATCGAGTGACTTAACAAAACAATACCCTATAAACGGAGGACCATCTGTATACTTTATCCATTATAAAAAAAAATTAATAGAACGACGTTTTCATTTTTTATTAAGTTAAGATGATTACAAAGTAATATTTATTCTAAATATTTTCATTAATTTAGCAATAAACGCCCAATCCCACCTGTTACTTTTACTAGTGATCAAAGTCGAAGCCTATAAAAATACCAACCATATATCGATCAATCATATATCTTTATTTATTTTTCTCAATTTATTTCTTATTTATTTTATAAAATGTCAGATGTATTTTTTAAGAAATTAGGTATATATTTTAATGGGGGAAAACAACATATTTGTCTTCATGTGGATGAAATTCATGGACCACAATTTGGGTACATCCTTGTTGCCTCTTTATTGATAGTAAACACAAGAATAAATGTGGACGTGGTCCTAACCTTATCCTGCCCCCATTCAATTATAGTTTTTTCATAGTATCTTAATTTTCATAATTATTTATATTTGATAATATATATTCATAACATATCACATATATATTAGGGATGGCAGTGTGACCCGAATCCGACGGGAAAATCGAAATCCGATCAAGTTCGGGTCGGGTCGGGTATCGGAGATTTTTTCAGGGGTTTTTTCGGGTCAGGTTCGGGTTCGGGGCAAGGTATCCCCGCCCCGCCCTGCCCCGATTATATATATATATATAATATTTTATATTTTTTATATTAATTATATATATAATATATAATATATAATATTTTTATATTAATTATATATAAAATTTTTCGGGTTCTGGTATAATATTTTATGTTGGGTTCGGGGACGGGGCAAAAAAAATCTCCGACGAGGTGCCCCGATAAAAAACTTGTTGGGGATCGGGATGGGGTCGGGATGGGGATTCATTTCGGGTTCGGGGATGGGGCGAGGAAAACCCGCCCCGAACCCGACCCGTTTCCATTCCTAATATATATACCTCATTGATTTTTAAAAAAAAATTAATGTAAAAATTGAAAAATGAGTTTTCTAAAATTATTTTAATTAATATTATCGAAACTAAATTAAAATAATTTATCAGTTAATTTAAATGATAACATATGACTCGAGGAACATTATATAGAGGGACATTATATATTAGGGTAAAATACACAAATGTTACTCCGATTATAGATTATTACTTTATTAAGTCTTTCGACTATTATTTTTTTTATTGATCTGAGATAAGTATAAGACATTATCTTTTCAAATATAACACCCAAGTCTCAATCATTTGATATTGAACGCTCATACCGCTAGCGTTTCTGATTCTCAAACTTGAGACTTCAAAAAATAACAACGATTCATTTGTGGTCGCTCGGTTCGTGATCATCGATTATTAAAAGTTATAAAATGTCCATTGACTATAGGGTATAGCTTTGTTGGTCCCTCGACTATTAAAAGTTATAAAGTGATCACTTAACTATTCACTATGTTTCAAACTCGAACATTAATATGTTAATTATGTGATATGATAAAATTCAATCCTAGAATCTCAAAAGAGTATCATATTTCAATTATCATGTTAACGTCCAACTCAGATATCAATCAAATTTTTAATAAAAACGACTAACTTAGAATATAATAAATAGATAAATATAAATTTTATAACTTTTAACGATCGAGAAACTTAACAAAGTTACGATCATTTTGATTTTCTTTTTCATTTGAGGAAAACAGGGTTGACAAAATCTTAAACTAAATACGGAAGAGATGGAAGTGGCGTCACATCTCATCGTCTGCCACTTGCACTCATCCGTCGTCTTTAATCTTTCAAATTTCATTCCCACGTGGGCTGGGATCCCACTTGCAGTCAAATACTTTGTCCCTTTCCCTCTCAAAAATTATTGAGTTCTGCATTGATAAACTACAAAAATAGTTTATGTTAGTTTAATATGTTCAATCTTTTTAAACTATGGTTTAAGATAGATTTTTTTAGGATAAGATCGTATTAGGTTAGGTCTGATCTGATTCGAGATAATAATATATTTATTTTTTATATATTTAGGGATAATGATATGTATATGTATATTTTTTTAATTAGGTCGAATGAAGTCTCTCTATATCGAAGTGGAGTCGGGTGACAGGTGGATGGTATAAAACTTGAGTCAGATCCGATTAAAATAAAAATTCGACCCAGTGTGACTCATGTCCATCCCTAAGGAGAATCGACTATCAGTTAATCCAGTGAGATAAAGCATTAGTCTTTAGGTAAGGTTAAGAGTTGAGAGTCTTGATATTGTGAATGTAGAAAAGTGAGTCGAAAGAGTTATTCCTATAATAAACATATGTCCAGTGTTGAATTTAAAAATGGTGTCCAAAATTTTAATAATCATTTATTTGATTTAATGGATGTACAATTTTTTTAAATTTTTTCTTACTTTTTTTAATATATGGAACTATATTTGATAACATGTCCAAAACAATAGGTATGCATTAAGTTCTTTAGGGTGCGTTTGGTTTACGGAATGTAAGATTATCAGTTGGAATAAAAGATTATCAGGGAATAGGATTACTGAGAATGTTGTATTTTATGTTTGGTTGGTTTAGCAGGAATGTAAGATTACCGTATTTGGTTAAATGAATAAAAGATTATTGGAATGTATATTTGACCAAATTATCCTTATTATATATTTGTATAATATTACAAATTGTAAAATATTTATATATTTTCTTTAAAAATTAAATTCATAATATTTATATACTTTTTTTTACAAAATTAAAAATATAAAAAAAGTTTAATGAAAGGGTAAATTTTTTTAACCCCTGAACTTCATATAAAATTTTAATTATAGACTAAAAAATATTCGAGTTAATAAGTTATTAAATTGAAATAATCATCCTTATAATAAAAAATTTACGATAATCAATGTAAATACATTGACTAAAAATTAAATATATAATTATGCTTAAAAACTAAAATAAATTCCAGATAAATTAATTGATAATTTAATCAGTTTACGAGATTTCCATTTTTTGCATTATGAGACTCTCATTGGGTTTGAAAACTTTGGATAACATTCCTTAAAAAATTAAAAAATAAAATAAAAAACAATTAGATGGTTGTCTGTCCAATAACCAATCCCATTATTCCAAAAAAAAAAATTAATTCTCGGTTCAATTCTTCGTCTTGATTAATCAAGGTCGACCCTTAGTTTTGATGAGTGAATCTCACTGCAGGGATTTTCTGCATACACAAAGCGAACTCGAGTCCTTACTTAAATTATATCAAGCTGCTTACTACTTGAATCAACCATATTGATACATTATCCCAAATTAAATCAATTAATTATTGAAAAAAATTGAAAATGACATTCAAAATATTCTTCAGAGTACTAAACAATCCCACTAAATAATCAAACTCTATTTTAGTATAATAATAATAATAATAAAATTATTATAGAATATTATATATATTTCCATCTACCAAATTAAAGCAAACAAAACATGAATGAATATTATAAAAGTAGGCTTACTAATATTGATAGATGGGTGATTTTCCATCAATGTCCAACTGCCACGTGGCTAATAATGAACACCTTGCTCGAATCATTCATCATCCCCCCGGATCTGAGCATAACACACAAACCAATCTCATCCCCCACTCAATCCCCAAAAACTAAAGGAAAAAGTTGTGTCTATATATGCGTGTGTGTCTATGTATATATAGAACTCAGATATACTTAATCTACATATACTATTTTCTCTCCGAAAACTCTCAATAATTCATTCTTTTTTGGGGTTCTGAAAAACGCTTTCCTGCTTTGAATCTGTGTATAATTCCCGGAAAACATGATGCTCCAGCAAGGTACGTATGCTAAAATAAATACTATATGGCTGCTATAAGTCCATCTTTAGGGAACAGTTCAAAATAACAAGAACATGTGATGATATCACTTTGTCTGTGTAATTTTACCTCTTGTGTAGTTGAATTAACGAGGGCTGTTCTTTTCTTTAAGCTCATGATTTCCTTATCAGCTTCTTACTTCCTGAATTTGATGCTATTTCCCCCTTCTTTTATATAAAAAGATATGCGAATTATTGTTTGTATCTGTTATATATGTGGGTGTGTGTGTGTGTGTTTCATTGTTGTTTTTGGTGTTGAAAAGATTAATAATGTTGTCTGTATGCAGCATAGTACTAATCTTATCAGCATCATTGACTGGTTTTTCTTTTGGTTCATTACTGGTTTATTTTGATTTGATAGAGCTGTGAGTTGGAGGTTAAGGAAAGAAAGGGATGGAGGGTGAGACATTTAGGCTCGGCAATGGCGGTCAGGTAGATGGCAAAGTGGTGCAGACATTTCAGAAGAGTTTTGTTCAGGTTCAGAATATATTGGACCAGAACAGGCTACTGATCAACGAGATAAACCAGAACCATGAATCCAAGATCCCTGACAACTTGGGAAGGAACGTCGGGTTGATTAGGGAGCTCAACAACAACATAAGGAGGGTGGTTGATCTTTATGCTGATCTTTCCAGTTCCGTCTCTAATTCCGCCGACCATATTGCCTCGTCTGAAGGTGACTCCAATGGCGGGCATAAAAGGAACAGGCCTGCATGATTCTGGGGTTTTATTAGTCATTCTTTTGCACGGTTGGCGAATACGATGATACAACTTCCACAGCTGATCTTGTTTGAGGTCCAATTCGTATAAAAATGGTCAGATTCTGTAGCTCTAAACTCTCTTTTAGATTATCAAAAACATTTGCTAGAGAGGAATAATGGGGATCTGAAGCTTCGTCTGATATTGCATTGTAAGTTGTGTAATGTAACCCTTGACCTATTTGATTAAATGAATGCATGTTGTGGCCTTTTGCTGCACTTTTCTACATATACATTTATATATATATATATTAGATTTGCATGTTGTGTAATGAAAGTTGTGCCTTTTGCAGTTTCTCATGTATGTTTTTACTGTCTATATGTTCGAACCCAAAGTCTTGCATTTGCTGCAGTTTCTAAAACCAAACCTTCTCCACTTTATCCCAACTTTTCCCCCTCTTTGTCAAAAAGAATGATAGCTATATGTAATGGGTCCTTAACGATTTACATATACATACATACATATATATATATATTAGATTCTTGACCATGAAGGCTCATTATGAACTTTATTGGATGGAACAAACTGTGTTTTCAGCCCTCTACAACATATGATACTTAGGAATTTCAACTTTTAGTAATGAAAAAAAAAGAAAGCTTTAGAGCTTTTAGTTTATCCCAACTTTTTCCCCTGTGTGTGTGTATATATATATATATATATGTGTGTGTGTGTTTGTGTGTGTGTATACTTTCTCTCCTGAAGGTTCACTATCAACTTTTAGATGGAAAGAAACTGTGTTTTCATTGCTTTGTGCTGGGGAGAACTAAAAGCAAACCAACATTCTCTGGGGAAAATGATGTTGAGAAAAGAAAGTTGATGATAATAATAATGAAGGCAAAGCAGCTTTGGATTTAAACCCTTTTTGGTTCCCACTCCCCCCATCACACAAACACCACAGAAAACAGAATCTGAGATGAGAGATTGATGAGATCTTCACCTGTTTTTCTATCTGCTTTAATCTCCTTTTCAATCCACCAATGCAAAAAATAACCTTTATGAAATGATAAACCCCTCGTAGTCTTTGTTCAGAATTTTTTTAACAACAATAAACTACCTGTAGACGTAATTATTTAAACTCAAGATTTCTAGAAAAGCCGACACTCCCCTCGTATCTTAGACTATTTCATGAGTTCAAAATAAAGTTATGGTTTTGGTAGATTAAAATAAAGCATCACAAAGAGTTGCAAGAGAAAGACAAATATTGAACGGTGACCCCCAACAACATGACAAGGGCCCCATCAAGCTCTCCATGCTTATCCCCTTCTTTTCCTACTTAGGTTTATTCTCCTTTAACCATAATATATATATATATATATATATAATATTCCCCCCCACATGCTATTCTCTTTATATAATAAATGTGTTTTATGACTTCTTTATGATAGATTCCTTTCATAGATAACAGTTGTCTTTTGTTGATGTGCCCACATTATATATACATATGATTATATTTATAGGTTATTCGTTGAATAATAAATGACTCATATTTTAATATTTATAATTTTTTATAGAAAATTATTATTTTATTAAAAATATAAAATATTCAAAATCACAATAAAGATTTACGAGTATTATCGTAAACGTAAACTAAATTATAGTTAAGACATTTTCCTATAACCATTGACACAAAAACTAGCCACCTAAATCACACAATGACTATGAAGGAAAAAGTTAAAAAAATCTAACCAAAATGTTCGAATAAATCTGACTGTATCGACAAACGAACCACAAAAGGGGATGAAATTATTGAAAGATCACCGACAAATCGTAAATCATGGTTGATTGACGCGAGAAAACTATCCATGAATGCAAAACGCGTACCAAATCAATCTGAGGATTCATAGCAGGGAAGATCAGTATGATAACAAATAAGTGTCATCTTGATCAGTCGTGGCAATGTCAAATCCAACCTTGAGAAAAAAATAAACGGAAACGACAATCAAACGACCAAAAACAACCAAAAAGATAGAAAAAAAACGTGCCACAAAGACATAGATAAATATACTACAAAGACATAATTATTCTTATTAAAAACTAAAAAAAAAGACAACTAGCGGTCAACAACTAGCATCAAATTCGATATCGTCGCCGGCTAAACAAAATCAAAGAAAAAAATTGATCTAATCTATAGAAGTTTACACAAATTGTAAAGAGAAAAAAAAAGGGGCGAGAGAGGGAGACGGAGAAAGTAATATTTTTAAACTTATTGAATGATATTAGTGATTAAAAGGAGTAGTATCTTCTTTTTGAGATTTTAGGTTATACGTGTATTATCAATCACTAAAAAAAATTATAAACAGATATTAATTTGTTAGGGATATTTATCCATATTCATTGTTTCTACCGTTTTATGTTCATGATTAGGTTATTTTCCACCGACTTGTTTTTATTAGTCTAAGGTGATTATAAGTGATAGTATATGTTACATAAACTTTTAATTATTTAAAAATAAACATTCAAATAGCATACAATCGTTAATACTCAAACTCGAAACATTTACAAATAACAACCATCATTTTAATCATCAAAATGACTCAAACCCATACATTTCCACAGCCTTTTTAGGGTTTAAAACAGCAGCCATGGATGATGTTGCAATAAAATGTATATCATTGTTACAATTATATATTATCAAAATATTGTGTGCTCTTGCAAGAAGAATGTCGGCTAATAATATTACGTATGACTTATGAGGATGGACGACAAATGTATGACCACTAATATATATATAAATATATATAAAGAAAAAGAAAGAATCTAATCCTTATGGAGCATTTATGTTTGACAATGACAATTATTTATATATAGGTAGGATGTCTCTTTCAAAGGGTGACATGTAAGTACAATATCTTGTAAAATTATTATTATCAACAATAATAATAAAAGAGGTTTCGACTAATATAGTTTGATATCGTTTAAGTAAGGTTTTATTTTCGAGTTTTTATATAGGTAAAAAATCACTACTCAAAGATTCACTCATCAAAACTAGGTATACTACATTGGTCGGTCCGAATTATCAAGACGAAGTCTTAGAATCTGGAGGAGGGAAAAAATAATAATAATAGGAGAGGCAATTAGGGATGGGCATGAGACCCCGAATCTGATGAGTTTCGACCCGATCTGACTTAATCCGATCGAGTCGTATTTTTTTTAAAAAAAAATTCAGGTTCGAGTCGGGTTTTTTAAAGGTGATGCTCGGGTCGGATTCGGGTTTACGGTGAAAAATGTCCGACCTGACTCGACCCGAAAAAATATAATTTTACCTTATATATTTAAGAATAATTACAATAATATCCCTTTATATATTATTTTTTTCAATTAAATCACTGTTTTTATTGAATAAAAATAATTTTTTTATTATTTCGGGTCGGATTCAGATTTTATCTCAAAAAATCGGATCGAATTAGGGTCGGGTGAATAACATAAAGTTTTCGAGTTGGGTCAGGTTGGCTGAAACTCGACCCAAATCCGACCAATGTATATCCCTAGAGGCAACTACGAGATTGATATTTATGTGATTCTAAATTAATACCATCATCTAGATATTAGAAAAAACATTTTTAAAGGAAATATTAAGAGAAAAAAAATGATGTTTCGACCCGACCTGACCCGATCGGATCGATTTTTTTTAATTTTAATTTATCGATTATTACTAAATTTATCATTAAATAATTCGTTTAAAAGTATTTTGGATGGGAGGAGATGAAGACCCACCAACTTGGTAGAGAGGAGTTGAATACTGATGAGTATATTACGAGTAGGGTTTAGGGTTTAGAAACCACCGTAGAATCTGATTTAAAAATGGAAATATCTTTATCGGTTCGCTGCATTTTATTGATAACCACCGTAGAATCTGATTTAGAAACCACCTTTGATCACTGATTGTCTCTTGCAAAATGCAATCCATTGGTTAAAGCATGAATCTCTGTCAATCCAACTTCCACATCACCAGGAGAGGACAACGCCATGCCTCCTAGGACAGAACCAGCCGAGTCGCGAGCAACGGCTCCTACCGCAGCTAGTCTCCTATGGGATTCAAACGCCCTGTCTATGAGTAGACACTAATATTTTTATACATATTGAGCGTTTTAGAAGAAACGCCGTTTCACGTACTATATATAGTGACGTTTGTCTAACAAACATCGCAATAGATTGATGTATGATTGAAAGCAATCGTAGATCGAATTACGACATTGGCTGCAAGTGATATGGTTGCCTATACTAGTTATTAATCGTTAAACTAATATTAAGGTTTAATTAGCGCAACATTAACGGTTGTAGTAACAGCTGTTATAATAGCTAAGATTAAAGCAATCAAACTATACCGTGATTACTGGTTGATTTAACGAGATAATACATTAAATATTTTAAACAAGATTAAATCTTTTAAACAAGATTAAGGATTTAAATTTAATGTTTATAATTTATAAACGAGTTAGATTGAGAAGATCGTTCTTATATTCAAGGACCGAGCTATAACCCTTCTAAAATTTTTTGGTTTAATAGTATTTTTATCGATCTAAATTTAAGTAAAATTTAACTTTTAGCTCCTAAAATTTTAGATTAAACACATGATGACGGGTCCGATACATATCAAACACAGAGAAAAGATGGAATTTTATTGCTGGAAACATATCAAACAGATACATAAAGGGGAAAAGAATCAATGGCTCAGCTCCGCTTGCAGGGTCGAAGTTGGACAGACCGATGACGGGTCCGATAATGGCAACAGCCACAACACCACCAGCCGCAATGCTAAGCAGGAAGTTCTTCAGCGACGGCGTTACTCCATCGGCGGCTTGAGCCACCTCCGGGATCACCATGGATGTTGTCAGAGCAGCAGCTGTCAATCCACTGACCACCCTCTCACTGAATGAAGAAGAAGAAGAAGCTTTGACTTCCACCAGCCTTGCATTGGATCTCTTAGCCGCCATTGCCGTCGATGGCTTCACCGGCAGTGGCTTAAACAAAGCCTGGGAACCGAGCATCTTCCTTTGGGTGGTGGCACCGGTTAATGGGAGAGCCATTGAAATAGGTGAAGCAGAAGCCATTGTTGGATTGGTTCTTCGTCTAAAAGCAGCAATTTTTTATTGAGAATTTCGCAGTGAAATGAAGATTGGGTGTTAAAGTAGGTGTTTTTGAGAGGTGGGAATTTGAGGGTATCAGGTTGGTTTCTCATCTCTATCTCTGTTACCAAGTGGCTGCTCTCATGCTGTGATCCATCATCCATGGATAAGGTTATCTTTTGGGAAAGAATTTTTTGGGTAAACTATGCTTTTAATGCTTAAATTATCAGTTTTCAATCGTTTTAGTACCTAAACTTTCAATTCTTTCAAAATCATACCTCAAATTTAATTTTTTTTTCATTTAGTACCATGCCATTAAAGACTTTAGTTTTTATTTCAATTTAGTACTCCCGTTCAAAATTTAACGTTAAGTTTTTTTTAAAAAAAATTTAAGTACTAAAACAAATCAAAACTGATAATTTAGGTACTAAACGCATTAAGTTTTTAATGACGAGATACTAAAATAAAATGAAAACTAAACATTAGGTATGATTTTTTTAAAAATGAAAGTTTAAGTACTAAAAAGGACCAAAACTAATAGCTTAGGTACTAAACAAGTTAAATTTTTAATGGTGGGTACTAAAATAAAATGAAAACTAAACATTTGGTATGATTTTAAAAAAAAATTGAAAAATTTAAATACTAAAACTGATCAAAACTAATAGTATAGGTATTAAATACATAGTTTACCCTAATGTTTTTACAAACTACATAAATAATTATTATATTATATTATATTATATTAAATATATATAATTTGATTTTTAAAAAGTTCTAAAAATTAAAAAAAAATAATATTTTAAATTTTAAATAATTATAAATTGATGATTAAATTTTTATTAAATTATTATAAAATTATTATTAAGTTTTTCAAATTGTCATAAAATAATTCTTAAGTTTATTAAATTTTAGATATAATGGTAAAATTTACCCCTAATATTTATACAATGATCATTTTAATTTTAGTTTTTTTTAACATTTTAACTTTCAACGTTTTAATTTCTTTAATCAAAATAATCATTATCGAATCAATATATGTTTCTGATGTGTCATTTTACATATGTTTAATTACTGATGTAACATAATCATACCAATAAAATGATGATATAAAATGTATCACATTACCTAAATTAATGACACATTTAAAATATAATTTATGTATAATTTAAATCATCGTAATAGAAGTTACAAAAATGTGAATTTATTTTTATTTTCTAAAATATTAATTTCTAATATATAATGATTTTATTATACAATTTAATGTCTTCTCTCAAAGAACTATTATTTGAACATTTTATTATTATTTTAGATAATATTATTATTATACAATATGACACAGAATTATATAATCAGTTATGTTATATAAATCATAAGATCAGAGACGGAGGGCCCAAAGAGCTCGGCCCTGTTATAATTTGTAAATTTAATTTCTACACTAATATAAGAATATTTAAAATTTTGGATAAATTATAAGTTTAGTATTTAAATTATTTTTATTTTTATTTCTACACTAATATAAGAATAGTTAAAATTTTGGATAAATTATAAGTTTAATATTTAAATTATTATTTTTTATTTTATTTTGATATCTAAACTTTATTGGATATGGTTTTTTTTTAAAAAGTGTAAGTACCTAAACAGAACAAAAATAATAGTTTAAATACTAAACTTGTAGTTTACCCCAAAAATTAGCAAAATTTTCTCTCAAATATAATAAGTTGTAAAGTCTTCGTTCTTCTATCATAAAATATTACGATAAAACCATCAGCTCCACAACAAAAGTAGACCCCTTTAGGGATGGTAAAAAAAATTCGAACTCGACGGGAAAAACTGAAAAATCGAATTAAACGGGGACGGGGAAAAACCGTTTATGCTAAACGGGTACGAGGACGGGGGAAAATCGTTTATGTTAAACGAGGACAGGGACGGGGACGGGTTTAGTAATCCCCGCCCCGATTATCCGACCCGATAAATATTAAAAATAATTATTATATATATATATAATATTAAAAAATTTAAATTAAATTAAATTATATATATATATATATATATATATATATATATATATATATATATATATATATATATATAATATTTATATATTTAATTTAAATATATATACCCGACCCGATACCCGACTCGATACCCGTTTAAATAATCGTTTATGCTAAACGGAGATACCTGTTTCCCCGTGGTTTTCCCTGATTACCCGATGGGGATCCCCGTAATTTTTTAAGCGGGGGCGAGTACGGATTTTTTAAACGGGGACGGGGACAGAGGTAAGAAATTCAACAATATTATATTTATTAATTGGAGTTGTTTGATCTTATATTTAATTTTAATACATTTAGTACAATATCACTCGTGGATGCATTTCAAGATTTGAAGGAGCAATGTGTTTTATTATGTTTATTTGATAGTTATATCTTTGATACCTTTTAAAATAGTATATTTTTTATTATTTACTTTAATTTTATTTTTAAATTTTTAATTGTTATTTCATAGAAATGATAGAACTAATATGCCTATTTGATGCTATCATTTATATTTTTAAAAATAAGAATAATAAAAAAAATTATGTATAAAATTTAAAGTCGATAAAAGAATTCATAGATATAAAAGTGTAGATATTATCAAATTATATTTATAATTTAATGAGAAACATAATTATAAATACACATCATAACTGATTCTTAAATCAGATGGATAAGGAGGTAGTGAGTCAAATGGTTTAATGTTATTAGATCTTGATTAGATTTTATGTGTATTATGTTTTGGTTCCAACAAATTCAGCTCTTCTTAATCTGGTTTGATTCCTGTTCTTGTTTGATCTTTTCCGTTCTCTTTGTTCTAAACAAACTGGGTTTCTCGAGTAAGCAATTGTTTTCTCAGTTTTTCTCATCTACTTCGTTTCTTGGACGCAAGATTTCAAGCAAAGATTACGGGGACCAATGGGAGGCGGTGATAAACCGGAAAAAGAACGTAGAAAAAGCAGAGGCCGAGGTAAAAGGAAAGAACCTGTTGTTCCGGCGACAGGCTTCTCCGATGGTCAAACAACCGTTCTTCCTGCCCCCGTCTGTTGGAAAGCAACAATCGTTCATGGCTGCTTGCCCTTCGTGCAATGCAGAGAAGGAATATTGCATGATTTTCATGAACCGAACTGTTCAATGCGATCACTGCTATCAGCTCCATCGGGCTACAGAACGGAACCCTTTGCCGCGTCATCCTTCAACAATCTCCTCGAACGTCGTAAATGTACCGGACAGCCATCGTAATCAATATGAACATGCATTGAGAAATCCCCATCACTTTTATTCACTTGTGCGATCTCTATCGATTGCGAAAAACAAACCTTGCCGGTAAGCCTCTTGCAGCTTGTTCTTTCACCATTTTGTTCTTGTTTCACTGTGTGCTTGATTTTACTAACTTCCATTTCCTTTGTGCAAATCAGAGTTCCGATGTTCCGGGGAAAAGAACTGAACCTGCAGCGAATCTTCACCGAAGTCACTTCTAGAGGTGGCATATTTGTGGTAAGATGACTGAAAGTATAAGCAGCTCTTCGTTTCTTCGGCTGTTTAAATGGCTTTATTGATACAGGTTGCAGGAAAAGGAAGACTGTCAGAAGTGAGCGCTACAATTGATAAAGATTTAGCAGATAGTGACCTATATGAGATTTATATGGACCTGTTGTATGACGTAGAATACTTGCTCTGCGGTTTCCTACTTCGTGAGTATTTACAAACTCCTTTTTGAATTCTTTGGTTAGCTATTGTCTGGCTCTCCTGCCGGCCTCAGTTTCATGTCTCTTTTTGGCAGATTCTCCTTTTAGTTTATCCGAAATGGCGAGTATTGTGTCGAGTTTGAGGGAAGAACAATATCCATCACAACGGATTCAAGCATCAGCTCCGAATGTGAGTTCAACACCAGTGAATAGCAATCCACAGTTGATTAGACAACCGATCCAAGCATCATCAACAATGAATAGCAATCTGCAGTTGGCTGGACAACCAATTCAAGCATCAGCATCGGTGAATAACAATCAACGGTTGATTAGACAAGCATTAGCTCTGTATACAAATCCAGCACCAGTAAATAACAATCAGCAGTTGACTAGACAACAGATTCAAGCATCAGGACTATTGAATAACAATCCAGAGTTAGCTAGACAACTAATTCAAGCATCAGCACTATTGAATAACAATCCAGAGTTAGCTAGACAACTAATTCAAGCATCAGCTCTGTATACAAGTTCAGCACCGGTGAATAACAATCAGCAGTTGACACGACAACCGATTCAAGCATCAGCACCAGTGGATAACAATCCAGAGTTAGCTAGACAACTGATTCAAGAATCAGTTCCATATGCAAGTTCAGCACCGGTGAATAACAATCAGCAGTTGACTAGACAACCGATTCAAGCATCAGCACCAGTGAATAACGATCCACAAATGACTAGACAACCGATTCAAGCATCAGCACCGGTGAATAACAATCCAGAGTTAGCTAGACAACTGATTCAAGCATCAGCACCGGTGAATAACAATCAGCAGTTGACTAGACAACCACCGATTCAAGCATTAGCTCCGTATACAAACTCAGCACCGGTGAATAACAATCAGCAGCTGACTAGACAACCGATTCAAACATCAGCACCAGTGAATAATAATCAGCAGTTGACTAGATATCTCACAGACGACCCTCAAGACTTCCACTCTGATGGTTTGTGTCAATATCTTCTCTTGTTTTGTCAATGTAACATTAAAGTCTAACCTTCTGACACCAATGTTTATTCTGACAGACGAGTGGGAACTGTTGCGACAGATATTGGAGGACCCAGAAGTAGGTTTCAAGAGCACCCATGGGATGAGCACACCATGCAGCGACGACATGTTAGACAGGAATCTATGGGAGCACCCTGGTGAAGCTGAACACGGCAACTCCGAAACAGGTTCCTCTTTGCCTTCGCCAAGCAAAAAGCAGAGTTAGCAACTTCCTTGTGCATGCTCATTTACTGGATTTCTTCTTAAAATGTAAAATCTGCATTCTCTATTGTATTTTCAACTTGAAACTTCATTCTTATAGCTAACTGTTGTATGTGGTATGTATTATGTTCTTGACTGGTACTCTTCATCGATAGGAGCACCTTGGTGAAATTGAACAAGGCAACTCCGAAACAGGTTCCTCTTTGCCTTTTCCTAGCAAAAGCAGAGTCAGCAACCTTCTTGTGCATGCTCGTTGATGAAAGGAAGAATACAGTCAAGAACAGAATACATACTACATACAACAGTTAGCTTTGCGAGTGAAGTTTCAAGTCGAAAATACAATAGATAATGCAGATTTTACATTTTAGGAAGAAATCCAATAAATGAACAAGACTATTACTACAGCATAAGTTAGCATGAGCAAAACAAATTAAAGAATAAAACCATGCAGTTTTATATCTTATTCCAACACTTCTCCCCATAATAGTTATTCTTAGTCACTCATCTCCGGGGTATTATTCACAACTTCCCCTTCATATTCAGGGAGGAGGACTGAATAAAGATTCTCAATTTTCTTTATCTTGGTGAGAAGACTTTGATATTGATAAAGTACTGAAAAGACTTTCATACACTAAAGTGAGAAAGGCTCAATCAGTTGCAAAACCCAATTGTTAGATGTGAACAAACAACCAACCATACAATTAATTCAAAATAAAATAAAATAAACAAAATGACACAGTCGAAATGCTTTCATTAGCAGAATTCACAATTATTTCAAATATCAAATCCTTGATTCTAATTAAATTTAATTCGATTCGATTTCCAAAAGAAAAAAAATATCAGTAACATTTAGGTTACTTAATTATCCAATTGGCAAAAACCATCTAAACTAAAATCACTCTATCAAATTCAAGCACCTACTGATCAACACAGAATCAGTAGGAATTTTGGAAATTAATGCTAACTAATTGTTTAAAAACAAAATTGATACCTGCTGGAGTTTTTCTCCGGCCAAAGAGAAAACTCATGTTGGATCAATACTACGAAAACAGTCCGAAGACGATTTGACGGAGGCTACGATGATCCGATCTGATATAAATTCACGTTCGACACGGTTAGGAGATTGCTCCTTCCAGGTTGTTTGTTTGATTGCTCGGCCGCGAAGATAACTTCCTTGCTACTTTACGCCGCGAAAGGAGAATTGACGTTATTTTTAGAGGGTAAAGTACACAAATAGTCCGCCGCTGATGATTAATAAAAATTATGAAATATGTCCTTATTTATAGAACATTATTTTATTAAATCACCTAAATATTAAAAGTTATAAAACAGTCACTTAACTATTTAGATATTTTAAATTCTTCTTTTCTTTTTAAAATATTGATGGTAGTCTGAGCTGAACGTTAACTTGCTGACTGTAATATGATAAAATTTGATCTCAAAATCTTAAATGATTATCATATTTCAGGTAATAGGTTAACGTTCAGTTTAGACTGTCGTCAATTTTTTTGAACAGTAGCAATTGGATTTCATTAATAATGGAAGAAATCAAAAATATAAATTTGGAGACAACAATCACCAAAATACTCATACAAAAGTAAAATATTAAACATAAAGATACAAAGAAAAATAAAATATTTTATTGAAAATGACTACCAAATCAAAACTCAATAACCTTAATAAAAACTTCTTATCTCGGTCGAATTATACGCTTTACGAAGTGATAAAGGAGTGACTATTTTATAACATTTAATAGTCGAGTAACTATTTTATAACTTTTAATAGTTGATGGATTCAACAAAGTATCACCCTATAATTGAGTGATCATTTTATGATTTTTAATAGTCAAAAGATTTAATAAAATAACATCCTACGGTCAATGAACCATTTGAGTACTTTACCTTTCTTTTAAATAATATACAGTGATTATAAGTTATATTTGTTTATAATATTTTTATTTATTTATAATTATACATTTTATAGATGTAGTTGTTCAGAGTTGATATTTTTAGAAAGAACAATACATTAACCATTAAGGTCATTCGATGAGTTTAATAAACACAGTTAAAAAAATGATTAAATCCTTTTTCAGACGCGGCTACATCTGAGTGTTAGGGTTCATTGTTATCCCCAGGCTTCGTTGTATGTTAGTAGGGATGGGCATGGGTCGAGTTGGATCGAGTTTTCGGTCTACCCGACTTGATCCGAAAATTTTAAATCCTCCATTCGACTTTAGTCCGACCCGATTCGTTCCGACCCAAAATAATATATTTATTAAAATATTATTTTTATTCAATAAAAATAGGGTTTTAATTAGAAGAAAATAATATATAAAGGGTATTATTCTAATTATTCCTAAATACATAAGATAAAATTATAATTTTTTCGAGTCATGTACTTTTAACCATAAACTCGACTCTGATCAACCCAAACATAACTTTAAAAAACAGGCATGATCCGACCCCAAATTTAAGAAAAAATCTGACTCGATCGAGTTTAAACTCATCAAGTTCGGGTCTCATGCCCATCCCTATATGTTAGTCTACTCATATGGACTCTGAAATTTTGGGCTTTCTCTTGGTACGTTATATGAAGCTCGGACTCATTCGATTCGTAACAATAAAGAAATTGATCATATAAATTTATATCATAATTAAATTTATAAAAAATTGTTTATAATGATATACATTTAACTAAAATATTAATTTAAATTTAAATTTATTCGGATGAAATCTTATGATGGGAAAAATATTAATTCAAGTTATATTTATAGTAATATTTTTCTTATGATGAGAGTTGATTCGAATTATTTTTAAATTTAAATTTAAAAAAGTTATTTAAATTAATATTTTATCTAAATTTATATTATTATAAATAATAAATTTATATATTTAATTATGATATAAAGTTATATTTCTATTGTGTTTATTATTTTTTTAAATGTTAATAATAAATTAATTATTATTTAATTTATAAAATTTAAAACATTTTTTTGATGAAACATATATAGGTGAGGTATTTCAAATATAAAAAAAATATGTACCTAAGATTGAAAAAAGGTTATATTTTAGAGGGCTTTTTTTTAGAAAAACATTATTTGGAGGGCCTTTCTAAATAAAGCCAAAGTAAAAGCTGTATTTTTATTTTTTATTTTTTATTGGTTTCTTAACCTTAAAATAGTCAACAAAAAGCGCAGCACACGTGCGTTTGGTGGACATGCTTTGTACAGAGAAACAGCAGGCGGTCACGTGCGGCTTTGTCGTCCTCAGTTCTCTCCTCACTCTCATTCAATTTGTATGTACTTCACGCGCTCCTCTGTGGGCTTTGTCAGGCCAGCATTACGGAGCAGAGATCACGTGCCTAGGACCCGACACAGTATAATCTAATATAATTATTGCTAGCATCAACCCCACAGTAATTTAATTGAAAATATGATTTTGATCCGATTTAATCTAATATAAATTTTAATTTTCACATTTTTTATTAAGATAAAAAAAATTATGAAATAAAATATAATTTTATTTAATTTAATAAGTATTTTATGTGTTTTAGCATATATTTAATTAATAAAATATAAATACATTGAAACAATATTTTTATAGTTATCTTAGAATGGGACGGTATATTTTCCCTAATTTTTTTTTGTGTCCTCTCTGTTCCAAGGTTTCTTCTTGATTAATCCGGAACGACCTGTGCCACACACCTGACTCTGGTGGGTGAGTCTCTCGGCGGAGATTATCTATATACACTAGGACTCCCAACTATTAAAATTACAAAATGGTCCTTTAACTATATAACGTTACTGCCGTCAAATTTTTAATAGAAATTGACGAGTTTGGAACATATGAATAGTTGGGTGACAATTTGTAACTCTTAATAGTTGAATCACTCAACAAAGTGAAACTTTATAGTTAGGGGACTATTTTGAAACTTTTGATAGTCGGGAAACTCAACAAAATAATGTCCTATAATCAAAGGATAATTTGTATACTTTACCATAAAAATATCCATTATGATCGAATTCAAAATCCGAATTTTATAAAAAAAAATTACTTTTATCAAATCAAATCGAATAAAAACCGGTCGATATGATTTTTTTTATCATCCCTGCATGGGACTTTATATAGGCGAGGAACCGGTACTTGTAAGTCTTAACTAACTATATACTACCACTTATCCTTTGAAAACCAACTGGGTAATGGTTAGGGCATTGCATGCTCCACATGCAATACTATCCAAGTAACCTACTATGGTACGTACCACAAACTATCCAAGTTCGGGTTTAATTAGGTTTAGGGTTTAGAGTTTATACTCTATATTGTTGTTTCTTAATCTTCATTTCAACCATGGTGTCCCACAAATTACTGTTGCATTTTGACCTCTGAAATTCCTTATGAGACCTTTTTCATCGATTCGTACATTGTTCGTAGATCGAGTGATAAGGAGTTCGATGTTCGGATCAACAAAAACAACCCTACAATGGCGTAACAATGTTCAAAGGGTCCATATTCAATGTGATAGCCCCCAAGAGAATCCAAGCATTGATGTGATAGTCGGTTTAATGCAATGCAATGGTGCATGAACGTTAGGAAAACGAGCGATATGATAATAGATGTGAATACGAAATTTAGTTCACTTTATGTGAATGATCTGATAAATGTGTGGTTCGAAAATGAACGTATAGGAAAAAAGGGCAAATTACGAGTTTAATACCTAAACTAACAGTTTTAGTCTGTTTTAGTATGTAAACTTTCATTTTTTTCAAATCATGCTTAAAGTTTAGTTTTGTTTCATTTTAGTACCCAACTCAAAATTTAACATTAAATTTTGATTAAAAAAATTGGTAGTTTAAGTACTAAAACAGACCAAAAATGATAGTTTAGGTACTAAACGCTTTAAGATTTTTAACGGTGGGGTATTCAAATGAAATGAAGACTAAACAATATATATGATTTTGAAAAAATTAAAAGTTTAAATACTAAAATAGATCAAAACTGATAATTTTAGTACTAAATGTACAGTTTACCCTGAAAAACAATAAAGATTTTTTTTCGTGGCTGTTGAGGCCATGTGCTTAAGCCGGTTGAAAAGAAAAGCAAAGAGCTTTCACTTTCTCCCTTCTCTCGTGGGGAGAAGATTTGTGTTGCCTTTTCCTTTATTCACTTTAGATGTATCTTTCCTTTACATCAGTAGAAAATTCTAGGGTAAACTACGTAAATGGTTCTTCGATTATAGAATAATATTTTTATTAAGTTAATTGATTATTAAAAGTTACAAAATGATTTTTCAATTATAAGAAGTTGCTTTGTTAAGTTCCTAAACTATTAAAAGTTACAAAATTGTTACTCGACTATTCATTATGTTCCAAATTCGTCATTTTTTCTTAAAAATTTAAGTTCCTAAACTATTAAAAGTTACAAAATTGTTACTCGACTATTCATTATGTTCCAAATTCGTCATTTTTTCTTAAAAATTTAACAATTGTCTGAGTTTGACGTTAAACTCAGATTATCATCAAAGTTTTGACGAAAAATGATGAGTTTGAAACATAATTAATAGTTGAGTGATCATTTTATAACTTTTAATAGTTGAGAGATTAAATAAAACAACATTTTATAATCGGGGGATTATTTCGTAACGTTTAATTGTTGTTATTCTTTGAGTTCCGTTCTTCGAGCACCAATATCATAAAAAAAAGACGTTGATGACATTTTTGTTTTCAAATAACTTTGAATTTTTCAAATTGAAAACCCTAAGGTCATTAACAAAAAAAAAATATGCTTAGAACATGAGGCCATTAACAAAGGCTTCATTATTTTTCAACCTAGTAGTTTCATACACCGGTAGTTCCTCTCTATACCTTCCGATTCCGATCAGATGATCCAACTCGAAAAGATCCGAACTCGAACAACTCAACTCACCGTCATCTTCTTCATCGTCCTCATTGTCATAATGTTCTATAAACCCTCTCAAAGCCAGTTTCCCAATACCCCTTCTTTGACTGCCAACTGCAGATTCTTTCTTCTTCAACTCCTCGTTTCTTGAAGAGAATTTAAGATTCTTTTGAACATTTGAAGTTGGAATTAATCTGGGATCTTCTTCGTAGATGCGTTTATGGTCACAAGGTCTGCAATCTTCATCAACAATGACACTAACCGGACAAAATTTAACTGACCTTCTATTGCAATTGCCGTATGT